CTGTGTAAATAATTTTTACTAAAGCCGTTATTGCAAAATATTAAAAGTTTTAATACCCCCGTCTTAGATTATTATAGAAACAACTTCTGAGTATATTATTATAAATAAAAATAAATTAGAAATATGTAGTAAATAAACAAATAATAATGAATAAAGACAAAATAAAATAAATGTTTTATGTAATTTAGACCAATTTAACAATTTAATATGAGGTAATATGATATGATGAGGTTTTACTAAGTCCCAGGCTTTCTTAATTTTGGACCTTAAACCTTGAGCAATTTTGGGTAGTTTTGGCCGTATGGATGGTGCGCCACTTTGCTGAATAATAAATCTCTCTGCTGACAACATTCTTGAATTGTGTTTAGTAATTTTTGATACTTCTCTGCTTTAACTGTTCCATTTGTGTAATTCCAGTGTTCTTTACACCAAAATTATCGCTTTTTTTTCGCCTAAAACCCTTAAAATCAATTGACCTTTAAAGTTTTACTTTATAAAATTCAATACCACTCTTATGAACCCACTGTATGCAAATTTCTCTGCAATATTCATTCCATTCGGATGTCACGTCTCTATGAGTTCCCTCCTATAAATTGAAGGATTACATCTCTTTCTTTAAAGTTGCCTCATCTGGAGCCATTTTTCACAAACCAATTTTTAAATTATTTGTTTTTACACTTTACCATAATGAAGTACTTAGAAGTTGATTTTATAATACTCTAAGGCAAGGATATTAAAAGTTTTATTTTGCAATCATGGCTTTGGTAAAAAATCTTCAGACCAGAATCCTGAGATGAGCCGATATGCAATTGTTGGGCTCGTAAAGTAAAAGTCGGCATTTAACACAACTTAATTAAAAAAAAATGTATAAATGGTTGATACAGTTTTACAGTTTTACAGTTAAAACAAAATGCGTAAATTGATATTTTTTCCGCTTTTGTCTCAATGTGTGGCGCGCCTGCGCATAGCGGGGCGGTGGGGCGACAAACTGTTGCCCCGACAAATTAACTCCGATACTTTTGACTCGATGACTTTAACAAAGTGTCGGCGGGCACGAGGGGAATGGAGAATCCAGTGTTTTAAAATATAATCAGGCGAACGGTAGCGCCCCCATCGTTGCTTTACGACATGCTGCCGAAAAAAAATCATACTTGCAAATTTTCGATTGCGCCCTTCGCAGCCCGTAAAGACATTAGCCTCTTACATTTACACCCCTTGAACTTAAAAAACTCGACCGGACCCCCGCCCCGGCGCAAATAAAAATGCGTCGCACGGAATTATTTTAAGGGCAAATTACAGGGCGCGACCGTTTTGTAAGCCTTTAGTTTTCGCCGCTTTTTTTTTCTTCTTCTCTCGTTTCCCCCCACCCCACCCCCTCCGCGCCGTTCGATTCCGTGACTTTTCTCGGCGTTCGATGAGCGATAAATTTTAAATACCCGACAATCGGTTCGGGTTTATGGAACGCCGGGGAATAATGGTTTTAAGCGAATGTCATTTGAAAAATAACGGCGACCCTGGTCCCTTTTTAATTTAAATTTTACGCGATTAAAAAAAAATTAGAGCCCCCCTCCGAAATCGACAATCGCCGGCGAAATAACTAATCGATATCGTGATGAATATCTATCGTAAATACTTTTTTGAAATTGGAATTTGATATATTATGAGTTATTTCAGAAATAAAGCGGCACGTTCCATCCAGTTCTCTCTGCTCAATTTTTTACTGGCGTAGTAAATAAAGAAGTGCCGAAGAGAATGTGGCAAAAACAAACGTAACTAGTAAGACCTGTCAACGGGTATTAAGGGGTCTTCTGGAAATGGGAAGAAACTGCTAGTTTAAGCCAACATACGGGAGGTAAACATGAGAACTATTTTGCTGATGTGATAAAAATCTCCCGGCTGATCTAGTATGAATCACAACGAATAGAGAAGACTCCAACCCTATCGTGGGAAAACAAGAAAATATCGACTGGTTAACAACCAAAAATATTGAATTGAAAGATTACATATAGCACAAATATGGTTTTATTAAATATCGTGGAAGATATAGCAGAAAAACATAGTGTCACCACCATATCATTGCGAATTAAACTCTACGAAAGTGAAAGGATTGATAGCAACATTCAAAATGAAAAACTTTAGGTTACTGTATGAGCAATCCATTGAGGAAATGATATCTGGGAACTGGCGCGAAGCAGTGCAGCGTGTCATGAAAGTAGTGGAGCATTTTCAGTGTCAGTCAAAACCCATAAATTGATTTATACCCTGGTGGTACTATCTGCAAACATTGAAATTTGCTTAAATATTTGATGAGTCGATCTGTAACCCTTTTGCACATCATAAGGGTGTGAATTAATTTTGGACCCAATATGATAAAAAACTTTATTTTTATTGTACTTTTATTGCCACTTCGCTCTCATATATCGACAGTAACACCAAATTGATGAGTTTTGGCAAATTAAATTAAAATAATAAATAAATCAAAATGGACGTTTTAATAAAAAATTAGGTTATTTTAGAAAAGTTCAGTTTACCACGAATATGCCATTTCTTTTCACGCTTTCCATTTTTGGTACAAAAAAAAACAAACCAAATCAAATAAAAATTAATAATAAATAAATTTATTATTAATTTTTAAAATATTGCAGGAATTTAATGAAAACTTTGAGGAACTCATTAGTTGTAGTTAAAATATCCAAGTACCAGTTGTAAGTTGCAGCTTAACGTTTCTTACAATGGAAACTTATGGAATTGTAATATATTTTTTTAATTAGATCTGTTAAAAAATGAAGATATTGAAGTGAATCATGCACTAACTGAAATTAAAAATTGTTTGAAACTACCTGCTGTTATTATATCTTAGTATATCCTGAAATTTGTGGTGATACAATAAGAAACAAAGAAAAATATTTTAGAACTGAGGTGGCTTGTGCTTGATAAAAATCCATTTATCACCTGCTACTATATATACCGAAAAATGACCATAAAACCTTAATTAATGTTATTGTGAGAATTTAAGTTCGATAAAGGAGAGGAGGTATTTAAATCTAATTGAACGTTGAACAATACATTTGAATGTATCATTTTGTTAATCGCCGTGGCTTCCAATAAATTGAATTTTCTACCCTTTGTCGCTGTATGTAAAATATCAAATTGTCGTCAAAAATTTGTTTTTCTGTGTTTAAGTGTGTAGCATAATTAGAATCTAGACTATTTTTTGAAGGATCTACCTGTTTGTCCAATATACATTTTAGGACAAGATCCGCATGTCAACCTGTAGACACCTGATTTTTGGGATTTTGGATATTTCGTTTTATTGTTTTTTAAATATTTTCCTATTGTGTTGTTAGTTCTGAAAGCTATTTTTAAACCACATTTTGACAAATGTTTTGAAACTTTTTCACTAGGTTCTCCTTTGTAGGTAATTGTTTTAAACCGATTAGGTTTCAGACAAATAGAGTTTACTGTTGTCTGTATTAAGTTCTTTGTTGTAATTTTCTGTTGAGAGTGGCGTATTAAGAAGTCTGTGTAAAAAGTGCGTATAAGGGTGATTTGAGCTGTTATGTATGACTATGTCCGCGTGTGAAGGTTTATGACACATTTTTGATCACAATTTTGATATTTTGCATAGAGCCACAAAAGGTAGAAAATTCTATTTATTTGAAGCCACGGAGATTAACAAAATGCATTGCTTAACGATCAACTAAATTTCTCTCCTTTATTGAACTTAAATTCTCACATTCTCAATTCTCATTTTCCGGTATATGTAGTAACAGGTAGTTTGTAAATATTACATTTGATAAATACACGGTGTCGTGAAAATCTGAACTTTTAGTTCTTATTTTTTTTTATGTGTATCGATTATCTTGCTGTTGTGTTTATAAAGACATCGACGCCGCGGGTAAGTAAGTGCTTCCCCGCTCAACTCATGAATATCCTCCGATTTTTTATAATGCACCGCGGTGAGTGTCAAATGGGAATTTCGCTATGCATAAATCATAATATCTTCTGCGGATTTCTTCGTTATTACGAAGCAGGTTCCCGCGGGAGTATGATTCGTTTTTAAATTATGGTGTTTGGAACGTAGTTTAGCCGTTTTAAAAATTTCCACGTATCGTACGCACGCGTATCCGATCGGTTTAGTCGGAGAATAATTATATAATAGCGCGCTTTATATTAATGGAGATCGGTTGTTTACGCCAACTGCTCGCGCATAAAATTCATTCGGTAAACGTCTGTGGTCTAAGAGTTCGCTGGCGCTAAAATTTGCCTTAATTAAATTTGAAATAGGATAAGGTCGGACGATTTTATTTAATAGATAGAATTTCACGGATGCGAAGTCGGTTGTTCCGCGTTTCGTATTAAAAATAGGAAATAAAATATTATCAATACGGTCTTGTTATCTATGTTTCCGCCAGATTAGGCCACCACCTTGTTTTTGTTGTTTTTGTATTGTTTGTGCATTGTAAATAATTAACACCACTCTAAGTTTAAGTTTTCTAAGAAGTAAGATAAGCAGGTGCATAAATCTCAACGGTGTTACGGTGAATAACCGATTTGAATTTCTTATAGATTTTTTTTTGCAGAAATACAATTAATAGAAGATCAGTAAGGAAATTTAATACGAAACGCCGTCATTAGTTAGTTAACCAGCAATTCCTCTGGACTAGTTTCTTAGTGTTACATTTGGGGTATTGTAAAAGTGACCAAAGCAGAGGAGAAAGAGGAGGAAATATGTATGATTTTACGGTGCATTAGATCTGCCGATAGTTTCAAAAAGCAAGAACGAGCTTTCGAAACGGCGTATAGTATAGGAACGTTATGGCAATGGTTTGACCGTTCGCACGTGCCCATAACGACATATTTATCACGTGGCGGCCTATTAAATACAAATGCGCAACAAGTGGTCGTCGCGAATTCGACGTACCGATCATCAATCCTCATAATGATATCGCGGGCACCGCCGCGACTGATGCAGGAGAAGGTGGTGCGCGTTTACTTACCGGTAATAGGGGAAAGCTTGGGGCATGTGCAAATCCATCGGCGTGGCGGGGTGGTGCGGTGCACCGTACGCGTGGTGTTCCCCGGTTTGCATGATCGAAGCCGCTGCCGCTGCAGCCGCCGCCGTGTGGTGGTGCCCGAGGACGGCGGCCCAGGGCGATGAGCCGAAACCTCCCGGATGATCCAGCTCGAAGCCGCACCGGGAACTCACAGACGCACTAGGGTGCATAGGCCACTAGGACACTCACGTGCACTCTCGACGATTGTCATTAGCAGAGCGGCGACACCGGTGAGGCGGTCGAAGACAAGTTGCGTTCACACTGATATAGAACTATCGGACGTGGGGACGTTTTGCCGTGTTACGACGAACGCGGACTCACGGCCATTGATGGGCAGCGGCCGACGAAGGAACTCAATGAGCACGAAATCCGCGGGGCGGAGCCGCAGGTATATCGCCGATCACGTGACCGTAAGTGCTCCGCCCGCCGGGGGCCGCCTCTTCGGATGGCGAGGCGCGCGCGTCGTGACGGCAACGACGCCCGACGTCGACCCCAAGCGCGGCGTGCACGTCGTTCTTACACTGCGGTCCCCCCGGATCATTTGACAGCGCGTTCTTGTGTTTGCGATTTCCGGTGTCCGTATCACGGCTGGGATCTCTCTTAAAATGGTATTCCGAGGTGTCCGGACCGTTCGGATACAGATTTAAACGCCTTCGAGCAGACCAAAAGCTTGCGTAAAGTTCTTGGATCTGGAATTTTCGTCTAGGTGTTTCAGTGAACGCAGACGTTAGCGTATATGACGAAAACAACAATCTCAAGTGTGATGGAGACACATCGCTCAATATACGAAGACGTGAGAAAATGCCTATGTATCATTGGGAGATTTTTGATATTTTCCCCATACTCAAAAAATGGAATCGTGAGTTATGCAATTGGGCAAGTCTACTATTTGGGAGATTCTGGGAGTATTAATAAAACCTATATCAAAAAAGAGTTTTATCATTCGTTTTAAGTCGTTTCAAATTCGACAATCGTGTTGACGCCCACTCCTCAATTTTTTTTTAGTCTACGCTTGTTCTGCCGCTTTCCATTCACCTTCCGCTGGTTCTTCATGAATGAATTTAACGTCGTGCACAATGCCGCTGTCTAGCTCGTTATGAAAATATTCCCGCGCGATATAAAAAGGTCTCCCGTCTAAATTATTTTTGTTTTACGACTGTCTCGTTTCCTTTTATCAAGATAATGCAGCTCGTGTTCCCTAGTCCGGACCGTACAATATCATCTTCTCAGCTTATAAGCGCAGCTCGTTGCCTGTCATAGACGTTTCGGTGGCATTAATATACCTATAACATTTCCACACCCACGATATTTGTCGTTCGTTGAATAATGTCGTAATTCTTCAGTCGCTTATCTACCCGCATTCGACGTCAATGACTGGCAAACGAAGCCACGGCCGCCATCGTCGTAGCGAACGTAAATAATAAATTCATTTTGCTTACTTAAAAATTTTACGGGCGTATTTTCCACTCATACACCATCGGCATACTGAAATTCGTCCGCCTGTACTTACGTCTTTGTTGAGTCGCCTCAACCCTCACCTTTCTTTGATGTCTCTCCCGAATTATTTATAGGCATGAGTTGCGGTTTATCTTTTTTTTTATTACTTTTTGTTTTTGTTAGATCGTTCGAACAGAAATTTGCATACGTATTTTCCGGTCCTCAAAATTGGTTTTCGCATAATCGTATAATTTTTCCGTGGTGCGCAAAATGCCGTTTCTTTTCTACGATTCGTCGTTGGTCCATCGGAAATGCCGTGGCACGATCGGCAAATGAATCGACCATTATCATGCAGCCAGCATCCCCCAAGTATGTAGGTCACTAGATTAGTGCGTGGGGTGGGTTAACGTGAGATAAGCGTGAATAGTAATTTCCCCGGAGAGACTCGCAGATGTCGAGCCCTAGACGTCGACTTTTTTTTTTTTGATTTACTTTACCGTCAAAAATAAAAATAAATACACTGCGGCTATCAATTTTTGAAATTTATAATATACGTATGTACATTTTGAATAAAACATTTGACCGCTCATATATGTAAATTTGATCGCTGGCCATTAGATGCAACATCCGGTGGCAGTGACACAACAATTCAAAAGGACGATGTACGACAATACCGAGAACAGGCAAACCCGGTGGTGTCTACGTATATCGCACGTCCACCGTGGTGTTTAGTATGCAAGGGTCGACTTCTGTCCCGAACGTTGGTCGTGCCGCCTCTCTCCTCTCGCTCCCCCCGACGTCGAACGCAATGGCGACCGTTGCTGATAAAATAGCCGGGCTGTAGCATCTTCAGAGCGGTCGCGGACAACGATTGTTTTTAAATATGACGCGTCACGAGGTTTTTTTATTTCGGACGGGGCGTTAACAATGAAACTCGACAATAAAACCAAAATCCTTTATTAATTTATTTACTCCACATAAATTTGGCGGATTACAAACGAGTTGTTATTTGGCGAACGAAGAATGTCCGTTGCTCTCCTTCTGTCTCTTTTTTAAAAAATAGTTTCTTAAAAATCTATACTATAAAAGTATAAAGTACTAATGTTAAAATTAAGTCGATAGAAATAAAAATGCATGCATTTAGAAAAATAAACTGGTGTCTACAATAATACTCTGCCGTATGTACAAAACTTAAAAAAATTTTGGCCGCAGAGCTCAAGGCACTATGCATTTGTGTATAGTAAATCAAACTATTAAAGGAATAAAAACAAGGTACAACTAAAAAAAAAAAAACAAAACAAAATGCAGGTTAAAGTAATTTTGGGGATTTTAATTTTATTAATTTAATTTCAATCTGTTCATTACTTTAACTCGCTTCTCGATTGAAATAAAAATAAGTCGGCGCAGAATAATTGTCATAAATATATCTCTAGTTGATTGTTTTTTAATCGCCGACGCAATTCAAAATAACAAAAAATAAATCCTAGTTAAATACATGAACATGCAAAAGCTGGATAAATAATCATAAAACATGTTAATGATCGACTGACTACTAAAAATGGGGGTTAACATAACTTAACTTATTTCTGCTATCGCATGCTTGTAAATATATTATAAAATAATCGCAAAATTATAAAATACGCGAAAGTTTAACCAGTAAAAACCGCGTTAAACGTTAAGTCATCTTGTTGTTCTAAGTTCCATGTTTAACAACTTAATTGGAACTGCGGGTGTCAAAACCTCTTCTAAGTGTCAGTCTCGATGAGCCGAACTCATCGTTTGATTTTCGTGGCCACGGATAGTTTGACCGAATGTAGCGTTATGTTTTTACATTGTGTTCGTAGTTTAACACAAACGCAAAAGATATAATAAAAATGCATTAAAATCTATAAAAAGAAAACAATAAACAATAAATTATGTTAGGTTGAGTCCATTTCTTTAAAAAAAATACTGCTGGACATTTTCTTTCAATCTGGTTATTAAACCATACCTGTTACTTAATTATTCAGGAACTTATTTTGTAAACAAAAACATTACTTTATATACACCAAGTAGCAATATGCTACATCATATGTTTCTATTTTTTAAAAATACTATTTTTAAGCGTCCGATTAAATTGCTATTTTGGTACAGAGTTTTAAAAATATAACAATGACCCAAAATTCATCTAAAATGCTTTACCTTAAGGCGAAACGAAATTATGTCAAAGGTCAAACAAAAGAATCCGGAACGATTGAGAGATCGCGAAAAACAATGGCAGTAATTTTAAGTGTGGCGGTTATTGCGGAATATGCTTTGCACAGATTCTTTTATCATTGATTTGTCCTATTTAATTTAAAAATAAATCCCACTCTACAGAAAAATATTAACCGTGAAAATAATCCAGTGGTGTAAAAACATTCCACTGTTTTAAGTACTGTAAATAAAATACTATTATAATTTAGTTTCCGATTATATGGGTGGTCGGCCTTCATAGTGCAATTTCGGGCTAATGGACCACGAATAATTATTCATATAATCGCAACACTGCGGTTCGTATAGACAACTCAGACAAACGAATGTCAATATAACGATTTGAAATGCCAAAGACGCTTTGAAAAGACGCTTGAACCAAGTCGATTTGTCCGGATCTTCGCCTGGATCATCACCATCTCCGTCTGGCTTCTCCAGCTTTTCCACCTGTTTCTCTTTATGATGTTGTCTGAAAAAAAAATCATGCATACAATTCATTATTCATTATTGTTTCCAAACCGCGGAGGTTGTTTAGAATCACCCCGTCATTTAAATTTCAGGGTCTACATTCAAGACACGTAGAGACGATATAAATTTAGTTTTCTAGACCCATCAACTTTATGTTCATAAACCGCGTTCGATAGTTGCGGCGGAATCCATGTGTTTGCATATCATTATCATAAGCCTTCGATTCCAGTCTAGAGAATGTTTTGATAACATTTAAATTGTATTCTCAAAAATTAGTCTTTTCCTTAGGTTGCAACAAAGTGAACGCAACGGTGTAGTCCAATAAAGGCCGTCGAGTTGTAGATTGATTATTATTCCGCGAGAGTAGACGCTTTTTATTTTTCACCGGATGTAGTAAAGGACTACCATCAAAACGTGTCTTTTTACGTTCCCTCGAAATTTTCCTACTCGCGCAACATTGTAACGCACACAATCTCTCCTCGTAAAAAATCTATCAGCCGATTAGTTTTCGAGATTTTTATAGCAATTCGAAATGTGATTTGCATTCCTATAAACTTACCCGAGCCTTTCTAAAACCGGATGCGAACAAGCGGCGGTCCGGACGATCAAACTTCTACAACGCAGTTGCAACGCTTTCAGTTCTTCTTCCGTGGCGTTAAGTTTTTCTCTCATAACCAGTCGGGCTTTGGAGTCGGGAGACAGTCCCACTTCCAATTGCCGTACCAGTCTACGGATAGCCGCCAAACGACCTTGTCTTTCACCGATCTCGTGTTCCGAACCTTCATCCGATATGCCGCTGTCAGAGAACGAACCTTCCGTAAGCAATTCGGGCAACGGATAACCCTGCAACCAAGATCGACCGGTGTGCCTTTTTTATATAACATTTTTGCACTAAACGCGTCTAAGTCGGAAGCGTCGCCGACAAATAAGGACCGTCGACTACTTGGTATGCGTCGCGACGCTTTTCATTAACGTAGCAACGGCGTCGGGCACTTTTGATTCCGTGAATCCCGTTTTCGGGTCCGCGTTGCCAGGTTTCGCATTTTCCGTGGCCGCAATAAAAAAAAAAAGCAAACACGGAACAGAAAGCAAAGAAAAATCGTTAATTTCGTCGAATCCGCAGTTGTAGTTATACCGTTAAGTCGCGAATAGCCAATGTTATTCTATAGGTTTGCCCTACATACGCAGACAGGGTGATGCGTTATAAGTCCCCGGGGGAACCGGGACAAAAATGACCGGTAATAATCTGACTATCTCCTTCCGAGTACGGTAGCCGAACCCTCGGGATACGGAGCGAGGATCCGATATTAAATTTGTATTTTTACGCTGATTCCGTAGAACATTGCCGCGGACGTGATCGGAAAGTGAAAAATTCCGGGAGTCGCGATTAACGATCCGGAAACGTATAACCCCGTGGCAGTCGATTCTTTCGTCTTCGCTAAAAATAATTACCTGGTAAGAGTTGGATTCGGACAAGAGTTTGGCGACGTCCCGCACGCACGTCGCCGTCTGATCCGTAAATTGACCGTTCGTCAGTACCGCATCCAACAAACGTATCGTTTTTCCGTCTTCCGTCAGATCCTTTTGCAACTGCTCCAAACGGTCTTCGAGCATTTTCCACGCCGGCAAGAGGTTCTCGATTTCGCTGAGTTTGTTCGACGCCCTAAAAACAAAATCGAACGTTGCGCGTTAAGTCATTATCCGACACCCAATCGAGGAATTTCAACATCCAATAGAACGGCGGACATTTGGAATACCAATCGACTCTCACGCACGGTACATACATATTACCGTGCTTTTTCTATTTGGCCAACGTACTTTGGACGTCTTAAATTTACTAAACACGTCGCCGTCCGAAATCGTGAGGAAACTTAATCGTACAACCGTCGGAAAATGATTTCGATGTCCCGTTATATTCATTCATGTATTCGAGTATGGTTTTTTGCACACGTTGAACGGCGTTCAAATGTAATTACTACCTCGGTTAATTTTCGCGTGAACTCATAATTCCGAAAGCGTATGTATCCAAACTGACGATCTTGGAAGCTGCCGCGTTTAGACATTTCCGAAACGAAAATGTTTTTGTTATAAAATATGTAAATCCGATAGGTAGAATAAAACAATTCCTCAATTAGTATTCTAAAGGGATATCTTTCCGACTGTATGACGGCAGCTGCACCCAAAACTGACGTGTTTGGGATTTTAAAATCGCGTTAAATCTGTTTTTTATATAATGTTTATTCCAAATGTCCGACGTAGCTATGCACATTAACAGCATTTTGTTCGCTCACCTCGTCTTCGCACTATCGAACAATTCGTACAGTTCCGATATGTCCGACTTTAAGGTGGACTTGGTTAAATCGTCGTAATTTTGATTTTCCAATTGAAATCGGTGAACCACCGCGTTGAGAGACGCCAGTTTTGCCGACTGGTTTTTGATCAATTCTAACGTTTTCTGTAAAACAACCCAACCCGGGCGTTATTACTCGGAAGATAGCAAACGTTAGAAAAGTTCTTAAAAAATTCATGCAACAGTAATAGAACGCGTTTATTTCTATCATTGAAAAGGGTTTTGCTTTAACGGTCGTAGTTACCGCCTTTTTCTTTATCACTTATAGCTGATTGCAAAAATATACGAAGACCCTGTATGTATCAGTCCAGCGTATACGTTTATAAAATATGCAGGCCGGGCGTAAATTTATTCTTAGACGGCTGACGAGCCAAGTTGCATTTCCGGCTGTCGGCAAACTACCCGACGATCCCCCGGGAGAGTTTCCAAGTTCAAGAGTATCTTATAGGCCAACTGAACTGCCGGTCATTTCGTCCGAATTATATTACCGTCCGCATGTATGTATATAAATTACCAAGGTTTACGACTTGGTCCAGCAGAAATGTTACTTTCGAAGTTCATCGTGCTATTTAGACGATTTGGAAAGTATATATATGCTTTTGTACGCGACTGTGCCGAATTCGGATCAATTGATTGTCCGTTGATTGCAAATAGGATTACGTCGCAATACCCGGCATACGCATACAAACGTACGTTACAGGAATTTAGAAAACTAAATCTGTGATCCGCACAGTGGCGTGCGGTTCACTGATGAGATGGAACCGCTCGATTTGCTGTGATTTAAAAAAAGAAAAAAACGACAGAATCACTTTTGTTCGATGATTTTGTCGTAAAAATAATCTTGCAGTCTACTTTGAAATGAACAAAAATTCGTATCCGCCATTTTCAAAATAAATAAGAATTAAAAGCAGATTTTCACGAAATTATGTATTTTTACACGACAATTGTTTCGACAACACCGTGTCTTTATCAAATGTAATATTTACAAAAAAAAAAATGACCATAAAACCTTAATTAATGTTGTTGTGAGAATTTAATTTCAATAAAGGAGAGGTATTTAAATCTAATTGATCGTTAAGCAATACATTTGAATGTCTCATTTTGTTAATCTCCATGGCTTCCAATAAATTTAATTTTCTACTTTTTGTGGCTGTATGTAAAATAAATATCAAAATTGTCCTCAAAAATGTGTTTTTCTGTGTTTAAGTGTGTTAAACGCTGTTTTATGTTCATTAATGCGTTTCTTAAACGATCTACCCGTTTGTCCAATATAAATTTTAGGACAAGATCCGCATTTCAACCTGTAGACACCTGATTTCAGTTCTTATTTATTTTGATAAATGGATTTTCATCAGGTAAAAGCCACCTCAGTTCAATCCGCCATTTTGCCTATTTCTTTGTTTTCTCGAAGAAAGCAAATTTCGGTTTTATCTTATGTAGAAAAGTTAGAATTTGGTTCGGAATCTCCTTAAAAAAAATGTTGACGTGATTCAAGTACGTTTGGAAATTCAAGGAAAAGTACGATTATTTTTTTACGTATATTGTACTCCCAGAAATGTTGCGTTTCTGTGGGGTGGTAAAAGCAGACTCGTGTCGGGCGCTGCCGGGGCAGGGTGTACGTGACAGGACTTGGAATGGCGGACACGTCCGGGTCTTAATCTTGCACCGCGGATACGGAGTACAAATGCTGTCCGCATATCCCGGTTTTTGGGACAGGGCCGTATCACTTCTTACAAGTTTAAGGACTTTGCGAGATTACGGAAGTTACGATCATTTTCAAACGGTAACGGGTACCGACAAACTTTTAATTCGATTTTTCTTTTTTTTTGTTCGGAAGATTGTATATAGTGTCGTTTACGTACCAGCGCGATTCAATACGATAAGGAACAAATAGTAGTAGGAGTTTGATAAAAAAAATGGCATAATCGAAAATCGTTTTATAAAAGACATAAAGTAATCACCATGCTGTAATAAACTTAGCAGATTTCAAAAAGCGTGTTTATCACACTTTTTGTTGTGGATTTTTTAAAAATCGCGTTCGTTGAAGAAGCAAAGGTTTACTTATTAATTTAAGACATACTCATTTTCCTATTGGTTTTCCATTTGCTTCCTAGGGGCGTGACTTAAGACATCTTTAATTATTTTTGAAATTTTAAATTTGCAAGAAAAAAATGTCGCTTGTCGACATATATTAGAGTTATTGCCACAGTACCGGGAAAATTCTTTTTAACTGTACTAGGTGTCCAAGTAAGGACAACGAAGTACGGTATTAGGGAACCGTGCGATCCTAGAAATTAAAAAAAGATAAGTAAGAGAATATTCTGGAAAATATTTTCCAGTTTTTCGTTATTCTAAAAAAAAAGAGCTTACCTTGCCACCAGAAAGCATTTTTTGACATATGACTTTTTTCATGTAATTAGATAGTTAAATATGGACCCAACAACCCAATGAAAACCGTAAAATATGAATAAAAGAACTCTCAAAAAAAAAAGCTGGATTTTGGACAAAAATGTTCTCTTTACGGGGTAATTTGGTTATTTTTACTTTAAATATCATTTGGCATCCTAAACAATAAATTGACGTTTCATTTGATAAATTAGGGATAATTGGACATTAATAATAACCTGTAACGTATCAACCTTTTTTTTGAAAGTTAAGTTAGGATCGAGATAGTGAGGTGCGGTTCTCGCTGGGTTATTGCGCCTTTATTTTTTCTATCTAATGACTTAAAAAAATAGAACTAAAGAAAATTATTTTTTTTGCTATTATGGCAAAGTAATCGCGTCACACATAGCGAGAAGGATAGCCCAGAAAAAGCTTTTTTTAACGACTTCAAGTTTATTAAATTTGGTTAAGTTTATTAGAAATATGATTTATTTAAGAAAGTTGCTCCCACCAGGTAGAGAAGGCAGCATTAAAAAAAAAGATTTGAATATATTAATTTGAATATTATAAATTTTTGTAGAAACCGAATTTTAAATTTCATTATATCATTTTTTTTTTCAAATTTCTAGGACCGTTCGTTTTGGATAAATAAAACCTTGTAGAAAAAGTTTCACTTACCTTCCAAACTTCGATTTCGTTATCAAAGTCTTCAGACGGGCCATCTGTATTACTTTCTCTTTCGGTAGTATCTGACAGACCCAACGACACGATGAACGCTTTTAACTCAGATATTTCTTTTTGCAGTTTCTTATACTCTTGCGTTTTTGCACTTGTCATATTTGCACTTCTCCATTGGCCGGATAATCCTGTAATAAATAGACAACGGTCCAAGATGACAACGTGGACTGCTAACGTTTCGATTCCAACGAATATTAATAACATTAATTTACATTTAAGCCAACAGACTTTCAGCAAAATTATTAAGCGTTTCTCCCAGCTCCAAACCCACACAAGCGAGAATAAATTAATAACTGAATCGTAATTTTTATACCGGGCGTGAAGAAATCATTTTGTTAAACTTTGGTGGCTGATTTTACATAAAAAATTATGAAGAGGATATGTATTTCAGATTATGAGCCAAATTATGTTAGGAGTTCTCAATTTTGGTAAATTATTTTCGTAGCAGCCGGTCACTGATGACGTCACAACTAATCCCACGTTATTTTTTAATGTGTTTTATGGCTGTTAGAGTCAGTTACTGTAAGTTTACGCTTGCAAGTTGCACAAGATTATGTTTGGTACTCACCGGGACGCACTAATTTTCGAACTATGTTTATCTTGTTTCTATATATAAAATAAAGAAAATAAAAACAAAGGCAGAGTACAAACTAAATGCTCTAACTTCAAAAATTTGATTTTTTATAAAACTATTGCAATATTACAATACTTACCGATCGTATATTTTGGATAACTAAGCAAGCAATCTTGAGATTTACTTTATTATAATCGGGTCTAGAATATTTTCTAAAATATCATCTTCCGGGCGGTTTAATCAATAGGAGAAAGGTCGGAAAACTATAAAAAGCGGTTTAAGCAGAAAACATTTAATGCAAAACCATGCTATTATAAGCAAAAAAAAGTGGCATATAAAATCAACGGAAACAAATAAATTCATGCCAGTTAACTATACATAACTACTAATATCGTTATCACAATGTTTGAATTAAAATACAGAATGGAAAAATTTGTCTATGTTATTTTTAACTTGCGAATACGTTTAAATTTGCGCATTACGTGTACAATAATCTCTACGACTTTCTTAACAAAAAAAGACACCAGAGAAGTCCAAGTGCAGGAGAATAATATTGGAAACCATGTCCTACCTGTGGTGATAGCTTGGTCCCCCGCGCACATCTTATATTCTTCTGAAGATTCGGTGATATGGTTCAGAAGGTGCCGATCACAGTTTGGCAGGAGTGCGTCCTGGAAATAATTGTAGACAATAAGTGGTACTTCACATTATCCCCGATATATAAATCTGATCTCAAAAGGGTGGACATTAGGCAGCACGAGCAGCACACAAGAAGGGAAATGGTTCTTGGCGGAAATATCGGTGTAAGCAGTAGAGAATAAAAATTTTTGTTTTATATTCCGAGTATGTAATCGATCTCATTTTTAACTAGCTGCCTTAGTCCCTAGCATATAATCTGGATTAATTTATCTGAAGTACCCGACATCTTTGTTCCCTAGCTAGATAGCCATAGTGATTATATTCGTAGAGCTTAGAAAGAGCTCTATCTTAGCCGCCTCTGCCATCTTATCTACGTTCCTACCATAAATTGATTAACAGCGGGACGATAGTGCTAGAAACTTACCAACTCGCTAGCGACCATTAGTCCCTCCTTGACATTGTCGAAAACCGTTTGAGCGTACTTGAAACCACTCCGTGACTCGTTAATCAGTTGCTTTAAACTTTCTTCGTCGCTATTCGATTCCGCGGTCGGTTGGACGGGCGCCAAAAATTTCCTTTTAAACTTGGGCGACATATCGGAAAACGCCGACCAATCCGATTGGCTGTCTATGAAATTCCGATAGTCTTCGCCAAAGTTGAGCAGTCTCCTTGCCGCATCCGAATCGTGAGACTCACTGTACGGTTCCGACAAATAATTTTCCTGAAAATTGAAACGAACGAGATGACTTGGACTTTCGATTAACCGAAACTAAACGCAGTAACCCACCTGGTAGTTGTCCCACGCTTCGGATAACGAACTCGACTCCGTTGCGTTTAGACTACACTTGCCGGGACTCTCGTCCCGCATATCCGTAGGGGGCGCCACATAACGATACTTGAAGCTCGACTTTGAATTTGACACTCTGTATGCGGAAAGGGATCAAAATCCGTCCAGAACGGGGGTCAGTATTTCTTTTTACCTTTTCCGAGCGTCCTCGTCGCTTTCAGCTCCGCTGGTTGTAGAAGTTTCGCACCAGATGTGGGGACAATGATGGACGGCTGACGGATCGCTGGTCGAATGCCTCTCGTGCGCCGCTACGGCTTTCAAACTGTATCCGGAAAACGAACCGGACTTGATCAACGGACCTCTAATAACACCGGAGCTCGCCGCTAGATAGCTGTCCGATTTGCCGAACTGAAAGCGACAGGTCCAATAAAAAATTATTGAAAATCAGAGAAACGCGAACGACCGTATGCTTACCGATGGCCTTTTCTTCGCCCTCGACTTCTTCCTTCGCATTGGTGACGTCTTGTCTAGGACCATCGTCGGAATTTCCTCGACGGTCGACGAGGTGGAATTGTTCCCGTTGACGCCGAATCCGTTGGCGCAGCTCGTCGTGGCGAATCGATCGAACAATTTAGGCGAGAGATTCATTTCGTGCAACGCCGATTCGGATATCGAGAAACCGCTGATCCTGCAAAGGAAGGAACGCCGCATACAAACCAAACGAATAATCCCGACGACAGGTAGCGGATCATTTGCTTACCCCGCGGTTTGATTCAGTTGCGTCGTACAGGATCTACACCACGCCCTATTCGCGGTTAATTCCAAATTCGACGCGTTGTGAGAACCCGAACCGATTCCGTCTCTCAACGTCATGGTGCTCGTATCGACGTCTTCCGACGTCTGCGACTCTCGTTCGTCGTCTTCGCCGCTGGCGTCGCAACTATCATCCGGCCGCTTCTCCAAACACAACCACCTGTTTACCCTCGACATCTTCAACGAATTGCTTCGTTCCTTCCTACACTTGTCTGGACTAACTAGCTCTTCCGCCCTTTGGACCAACATTCTGATCGTGTCTTCCGGTATCGCTTTCGGTTTCGGCGCGATATCTTCTTCTGCGCATTCGATTCGACGGTCGTTGTAATCGGTCGTTTTCGTAAAGGTCCATTCTTCCTCCGACGTTTCGTCCAGCGTACTCGTCTGACATTCCATCCCGGCGTTAAATTTTTCGACTTTGTCCATGTCAGAATCTGTGTCCTCGTGTTTAAAATAATACGTCGCCAAATTGGGAGCGGTTTTGTTCGATTGGGTAAATTGGGACGAATCGGCGCTTAGTGAACCGGCGCCATCTATTACGTCTTCGATTCCGCTTCTCGTTTCGGCTAAAATGTTCTCGTTCATCACGCCTTCATTTATTATGGCATCGACGTCGTCGTCCTGCAACAAAAAGGAATGACAGACAAGTGAGTTTCTGGAAAAATACTGGGAAGCAAATGGGACGCTCTACTTGTTTTTGTTCTTACTTATTAATAGAAACTGCGCAGTTAAAACGAATTAAGTTAAATAATTTTTTCAAATCTACAAGAACTGTTGCTATTGTCGAATTCAAGTTGGGCTAAATCTTTCCTATAACCATAGGAAAGATTTTTGTTTGGTTAGTACAATTAATAAGAAATCACCCGACCCCTATATCTGTCCCTATAAATCAGAACCGCAGATGTAACATCGACACAGGAAAGCCGTCTTCCCGCATAATACTCCAATAAACAGTAAGAGGTGTCTTAAACTTGGGTCGGTCGGACCGAGATTTGAAATCCTCATCTAGGAAAACACACAACAGGTTAATCACTCATCTTTTCTAATATGCCAAATCAATTCAAACCGTATCTCGTAGATACGTGCAACCGGTTGTAAGTAAGTGATTTCAACTTTAGACAAAAAACGGTTTAATCTAACGATCTGCTTCGGGCCAGGTACGTGACACTTTTCAGATATGCCCGATCAGTTCGAACCGTATGTCGTAGTTATCTGTAATAAGTAGTAAATGATTTCAGCTGTAGACAACAAAAAACGGTTTAATCTGACCATCTACCATTAGCTTAATTATACTAATTCGGCTGCTAAATAGAATTAATTCCCTTCAATCTAATTGTTCTTCTTCCGACTTGGCAAATAACTTTTCTAAAAAATCGTTCTTATTTGCTTACTACTACTACCACCCATGAAACCAAAATATACTAGGATGTCCAAGAAAGGTCTATCATCCATGTAACGGCGCATTCATTGCATCAAAAAAATACCATACCATTACCATAAGGTAAACCTCACGTGATCATGATAGATAATTAATTCAAACGGATATGACAGTTGTTAAGAAAACGCCCAAACAACGCAACCCGACGGGTAAATGTATGGATTTAAGGATTTTCGTGTTTTAGAGATGTTATTTGTTTACCTCACTGGAATAAGAATCTTCGAACTGATCGGGGCTGCGATCGCATTTGCTTAGGTGACCTTTGCCGCTCAGTCGAGGGTATTTGGAAACTGGCTCTCTGTAGCAATCGCTGTCTGATTCATCCGATGAAGTAGCAGAATTCTGTAAAAGTTCACGGAGAGTTACTAAAGAACAAATACGAAATACCGAACAGCCTTGCTTCCATTTTATCAACAAAGTCGCTTCTAAGCTAATCAGGAATCGAAACCGACCGGTTTCCGGCGTATATTCGTCAAAATTATCTATCGATCCGCATTTTAATCGACGTCATCTGAGTTTATCCGTTTTTCGAATATTTATCGTTGCGGTGCGATAAGGGTTTGCAGTTCATTATTTTTATTGTTTCGGAAATTCGACGAAATGTAAGTTTTTCATCAGAATCTGAAAGTAAGCTATAGAACTGGCCAATTCTGGCGTGAAATCGATAAGATTTATGATATAGGCACCCATTCTCATTATCCACGGGATGCATAATTTGCATCATCGCGACCATAAATGTACATACACATCACGTTTTTAGGCACAACCATAAGAAAGTTGCCCACGCGGAGTGCTATCTATCTCTGTTGGAGATTAGTTGCTAATAAATGCACTAAAATCGGTCGTCGCTACGTGTGGGTCTCGCCTGTTAATGCAGATTCACATTCTCGATGAACCTAACCCACCGGTCCCACGTAGGTATCAACTTTTTCCGCGCCCATAACCTTCTAACCCTAACCTAACTTAGTCCATAGCGCCAAAGTAACCGAACCATTTAATAGCAGATCATTCGCCGAAGCGCACAACAAACACGAATTAGTGTCAAATTAATAGCAACTAAACGCGACATAAATATAGATGTACCGTAGAACGTAGAAACGGAAAATTAAATCTAATAATACACAACAAAGAGAAAACGAATACCTCACATCTGAATAAAGCGCAAGAGTTAATTGAATGTCTTTCGGGCAAAAGTGAAATGTGGCGGCTTATGTTTAACATTTAATAAGGAAGATAAATAGATGCATGACTCGCGATTGCGGATTAAGTGCCGTAATAGGCAAAACGAGCGCATTATTGGCATTTCTTCAATATGTTAATCAATACTTAATACTGATAAATAAATATACGCGTGCTCACCAAACGAACTTACTCGCATCGAACCGCACGGAAAACAGAGTACCTTATTCCCCCAGCCCCTATATTTTGATAGCCGAACGACACACGGGGTGTCATTAAAAGTTCATTACTCTGACTGTACATGCAAATCTATCGTTGTATCGTTTGAGTTACCAACATTAAACATAGAAACCATAGTGTTTTTACGTTGTTCAATAGAAAAATTACGAAAGCGAAGGGGTCGCGTTAACACGTTGGTATATTTTTAAAGGATATCCGGTGTGCATTTGGTACAATCCGTTGCTCTATAAACACGAAACGTTCCGATATAATACGGGAAGCGATAAATTTTTCAGCGTTTACGAATTAAAAGCGACTTTATATTTTAATTTTGAACTAACGGTCGATCGATTGCGCTTCCGCAATTTTTTTTCCGTATCGATACCGCCGGATGTGAGCGATTCCATTTTCCTACCAGACGCGTTAGAAAATTTGCCTTTAAGGAGCAATTTGAGCGGCGTTCGCTTTTTAAAATATCAACAGAGCACTTATATAAGTATCTGCAATTAATGATGCGGCCATTTAATTGAGTTTTCTCCTTTAGCCGATATATCTATCTAAATCATATTTAAATGCATAACGGAACATGCCCCACGTTTCTACAAAAAGTTGTAACAATATACTCTCCCATTAAAATAACTTTAACGCTCGTTGGTTAGTTTATTGCTAGAGATAAACATGTAGATAATAACTGCCTATTATTATCATACCAGTGTTGCAGGCTGCCAGATTTTTTCTTCAAAATTATACCAATTTCAAACTCAAAATGGCTTCTAGTAGTTTAGAAAGCGCTGAAAAGGCGAGAAGTAACCGGCCATATGTCAAGTGGTTTGTTTAGTTTTGCTCTACAACGTTAAATCGCCCAAAGAGTGAAAAACAAAAAAGTTCGCTCTATAAACTGAATTGCTCTTATTCACGTCGCCCATGGGCTGTAGCCAAATGGCGTATAGAACATTTAAAAGTATGTCATCCTATCTTTTTTTTTTAAACTTTAAAAATGTGCTAAATAATTTTTCCGGTGCCAAAGATCAAATATCAATCAAAAAGCCCCGTCACAATGGCCAATTATAGATGTACAAAATGAGAAAATGGGTACTGAATTCGCTGCAATTTGTTGCGAGAGATACGTACGTATTTATTTATTGACTGGGAGGTACGAACATAAATAATAAAAAGACACTACTTTCACTAATATTTCGATATGTAATTGTCTACCGATAATTCCGCGGTTGGTTTTGCGATATAGATTACCCTCCAGCAAAAATGGTTGCACAGTTAGAAAAATCCGGTCAGTGATTTTTAATAGTGATGATCTCATTGTAACGGTGTATAATTCTCGTCTCTCGACAGGAACCTGCGTATATTATACATGCATATCTACTTGACTATGATTAATTTTGGCAAAGCAACAGTATGGTGTCTGGTCTTATTCTATTTATCGAGGAAAGAAGATATAGATTGTTGTTAAACCAATTTTTCTAAAATTTCGACGGAAATTTAGTTCATAAAGCAATACCAACAACACGTAACGCTTTTCAAGTTTTACTTTGACAGCCTATAATTAAAAAATGTTGGCTCTCACCGGTTGGTTAGTTGAATCGTATAATTTTATACAACACCCGAAGACTGCTAAGATTTTTGACAGAGGCGTATCGATCGAAATAAAAACATGGTACCGAACTTCCTCGAAGAATAGGTATTTCCATAAAGATGCGCCACTGCCCATTTTTTTTACAGCGTACTCATTTATTTGTAGCACACCTTCCAATTTCTTTTAGCCGTTATTACGCAAGCAGTCTTCCATTATGATCTTCACGATTCTTATGATACGCTCCTTGGTTTTTTTTTATGTTCGCCTACCAAGAGATTCCGGGATTGCTTTTAACTGTAATCAACAATCTAAGATCTATTGTTGGTCGGTCTTCCGCGTTAAGCATTCGATTCCGACAATAAAAGACATTAAAATAATGATAAATTCGATTCGATGTGTTAGAGGTGCTTGTAAAACGAGCAAAAAAATGTGCCACCGTTTCGCGGTCAACCACTTAATGGATGTACCTCGTAAAGCTGCTCTAGTGTCATTGCGTATAACTGTACGGACTAATTGAACTTGTCCGTCCCGCTTGTTGGCAAATTAAAACAAACGAATAACTTTTCGTTACTTCTTTTTATAAAAATCGCCGGATCGATTGATTTAGCTCGTTCCTACAAACATAATTATTCATTGGGATTGTATAAATGAATATAAATTGAATATAAATTGCTTATATCTCATATTTGCCTAAAGTCAACGTTTGAAGCGGTAAAACAATTAAAGCATTTTCTTCATGTTTACGTGCAATTAACCTTTGACTTGGCGGTTTCATAAGGCAACTCGTACACGTCTTTATAACTTAACTTTCGGTCGCAACGCGACTCCAGGTTAAATTTCTCCGACCGCTACACATTATCGTTTCGCCATATTTAATAAAAAAAAAAAAACAAGTAAAAGACGAAACGTTTGCCTAAAGCTTGCGTTAACGCGAACGGTTTACGGTCTGCGTTACGGTACAAAACATTTCCAAAGGCCTAAGCTGATTCTCGAATAAAAACGCAATCGGGCAACGCGTTCTATTTACGAATAAACTGAAAAAATGCAAAAGCCTTGGGTTATAATTCAGTTAAATCGCGTTTATCTTAAATTATCTAAGCCGAACACTTTCACTATTATCATTTTTCGATATTCGCATCATTTAGTTTTGTTTTCCGGTCTCTAGACATTTTGACGCCATTTTTGTTGTCATCGCCACACGAAAGTATCCGTTTTTAACCGTAGAACGGGCAAAGAAATTGATTGAATATGATTCTAATTTACCGACAGTCGAAAAAGTACACATCGTGTCACCACGGTTTGTTTTTTATTAATATATTTTTTTATAAATAATCTTCGGACCATCTCGAAATTCAATGAATCTATAATTAAAACTGACTGAAATTAACTTATCGGTCGAAATCGCTGTTTGACCCTGACGTCTGCAAGTAGTATAACTAACGGAGTTCTGGGCCAATCGGTCCTTTGATACTTGGATTTAGTTGATTAAATAAAAATTGTTAAGCCCTGAAATTCAGGATAAGGAGAGTGACTCGAGTATCGTAACAATTTCGGAAAACCAAGCAAAAAGCGAAATAAAGCAATATTCACCAAAATGAGCAGATAAAAAATCAAATAAATAGTTTTCGGATAGTATCGCGAGGATTGTCCAACGACCTTACTGGAAGTCTGGTTATTTTTAGTCAATTTGACACGTTTTTCCCGCCTCAATAATGAAACAGGAATACGAAAAAAGTCATATTCGACCTATCCGCGGGTTTCATTTATTTATAGGTCTAAAAAATGCTGGTGTTTACCAATTCTATATTTACATTTAAAGGCGGTTTTAAGTTCGACCGGCTTCCGCTAAGTTCGAACTATTTTCAGTTTTCAATGACACCGCGGCCGTTTTGCCGGCGACATGTACAGGGTTTTATCAATGATCATTTCGAAGCGTTTTAAAATAGTTGCCATTTCATTCGCCGTCTGCATGGCTTGTTCACAAAATATTTAAAAAATCGGAGAACAATTATTATGGATTATTTTTTTTACTCTATATAAGTGGCGGATATGTGTTAAGTTAGAATTGCCACTCTCTAAGTCATGCAAAAGCTTGGGTCTCACTCTTGATTCGCAGTTGCGGTTCAGAGAACATATTACTAATAAACTAAGGGTTGCCTATGCCAATTGTCAGGGAAATCGTAAGTTGCTGTGTTCTGTCACAATTTAATCACTGCAGTGCTGTGTACGGACCGTGCCTGGATGCGTCCGATCGTTACCGTGTCCAGAAGGTTCGAAACGCCTGTCGAAGGCTAATTTATTGGGTAAGGAGGAGAGATCATATCTCCTCGTACCTTCGATGCAAATTACGAATGAGTTCCCTTTATTTCAACATCCTTAAAACAAAATTACCTTTTTATCTTTACAGAAAAATTACTCTTAACATATCAATACACAATTTGAATCTGCGTGGAAGACACCGACTAGTTATACCCCGTCACCGCAATGGCTATAATATAGCCATTTGCATTAACTCTATTACTAATTTTAATATTCAACGTTTAGGAATAATTTCAAAAAGCAGTTGTTACCTACGTACTAATATTAAGCTCTTCTACAAAACATGTGCCCCTTCCCTTTCCTTTCCTTCCCCCTCCGTTTCTTCACTTTTCTTTTCTTTAGAATTATGTGTACCTACGCTTGGCGCTTTCAAATAAATTCTATGAAATTTTTTATTATTATATTTTCGCTGTTAAATTGAGGCCTGAACAGTATCTAGAATTTCTAGATGGCTGCCCTAACAAGGCTTTTTGTTGATCATTATTTCACTTATTTAACTTTGGTTATGTAATTATTTCTATGAAACTTTGATGGTTATAACAATAAATGTATTATTATTATTATAATTATTATTTAAGATGCTATTAATCGTTTTTGAAGTTTACAAAATTGATTTTGTTTTTTGGTGTTAAAATTTATTTTTATTGATTGACAATTAATTGTACATTTTTTACGACAGTTATATATTTAATATAAGTATACAGTCAACTGGATAATCGGCCCAAAGAAATTTCTAAGATTTGATTTGCCTCGTTGCAACAGAATTTGCAATAAATTATGCGCGAATAAATGCATTAGTGGATAGCTGGAAACCGAAAGTGCGTATCTAAATAATACGACATTAAATCCTGTTATTAGAAAGCATGAACGCGAAACCTTCGAAAAAATTATGCGTGCCCCATCAGCATTTGAAAAGTTCTCGAAATGTTTTTAAAAGTGCCGCGGCGTAGACTATACGACATTTATATCGATGGCAGATAATGGCGGTAATTCAATTTCCTTTTCTTTGAACCTCGGGTTAAAAACTATTATAAATCATAACAATTAGTAGTATCTATCTAAATCTAACGGTGAATTTACTTTCGGCGCTAAAAATTATTAACTTCCAAGTAAACTATGCAACGATCCGATCGACTCTAGCGCAAACGACTTCCTTATTGTCCGATATTAGGAAGCTTTCAATTTTAATGGCTACGACCAATGATGTGATTTATTCCAATATATAGCTTTATCACCTTCGTCTATAATCAAATCGAAATGAAACGCTATATTTGACGTTATTAATATTTGTTTTCCCGATGGATAATTACACGTCGTTCAGTTGTCGACGTGATTGGCTGTGCGCAGCTTGATCGAATATCGTTGCAATCTCGGGATATTTCAGTTGCGAGTTACGATAGCGACAGGGTCTCATTTTCATCGGTTCAATATTACTGCCCTGCAAAATACTCACCCTAGTGTGTTGCCGTTTGGATAACGATTCTAGATAACACTGCCACTCCAAAGATCGTAGAAACAAAAGGTGCCAGCGTCGCTCAAGACCGTTCGCAATGCGTCTCGCGTTTGCCGTGTTGCATTTCGCATCAGGCCTTTTGCATAGTTTCACCACCGAACCAACTATTTTCCCGTGATTTTCTATATCACGATGCAGCACCTGAAACCAAAATAAGAACGATCACAATATTTAATACCCGTGCAATTTACTCGCCGACAGAGGAGATCGAACGATGATGCTGAGTCAGAAATCTGAGAAGCGCTGACTTTGTTTAAATTTAAGGCACGCGCTATCCTTAGAATTCAGATTGGGACGCTAAAAGTCTTTTGACGGATGCGTAACTGTATTTTGATAGAGTACTTATTAAACATATTTCTCCTTATATCGCCGTGAACTTTAATACTGAAACTTAATAACATTGCGCTGGCTATAACGCGTTAAAATTTTGTGTGAACGAACCGTGACATTTTGTGCGAGGCTTGTATTTACTAGGAAAGAAATTAACGTAACAGCTGCTTCTTTGTTTAAAACATCGGGGCATTCATATATAAACGGGCCTGCAGCTCTGGTATAGAGAACGACAGGCACATCAATTAGGTACCCGGTTTCGTCACAAACAATTCCTGCTCAGCGTATAATGAAAATTGAGAGGGACTTTTTTTCAGTGCAATAAGCACTTACCACAATGGTGCTTAAAACCAAACGAGTTAATAAGAATAATGCTGAGCTTTGGCGATCGGGTCACTATAATTGAGAAGCGGTTCTTGGTTGACATGAGATCTTATTCCGGACTGGGGTTAAATGACCAGTGTAACAAAGATTTATCGACTGCAATCAAAAAGTCGGATGATTGAAATTTTGAAAGAATTGCACTTTACAATGACAATCTCAATGCAAATAATTCAACAAACAACGAGAATTTTCAAAACACGAGCTTTCCCTAAGTTAATTAACAATTTAGTAAACTATGCGGAAACGTAAATACACGCAGCATAGAATGGCAACCAAAATAGCATTTAATTGAACATATCTTCGTTCGCAAACTGTTTGTTTATATTTGTTAAACACACAAACAAATTTAATCTGCCATGGCAGATACGTTCAAAAGATGCGGGACCAACTATCGCAGCGTAAATATTATTTGGCGTGTAGTGTTAAAAGATGTGCCCCAGTTTTGCGGTTAGTTCAAAACTTTTGGGTTATTATATAAATCTTGGAATATTTATAATGCGTTCGGAGGAGCGATTTATAATTTCTGCGCGGTACGCTTGCAAATAGGAGAGTCTAGAATTTAGGCCAGTTATTTTTGTGCCAACTGCTGTAGAAATAACAACGAACGTAAATAACGATAAATCAACGTATCGATATTGAAAATAATTTAATGAATTCTCCGGTTCATTTGGAACAAACCGTAAAAAAACGTTCGAATGTTCTGATTTATCGCAAAATAGCTGTAAATTATGAACATCGAGAGAAAGGGAATTCTCCAACAATAAGCGAATAATTAGCTGCATACAATATGCACTTAATAACACCGAACGGATGATGTTATACCACAATTAACGCACCTACCCATATAGCATTTGATTGGAGGAACACCTACGGCGCGGTATTGTAGAAAATTGAACGGGCTACCTGAAAGTACGCCATGATGCAATCACACTTTTACGACTATTTATGTACGTTAAGAATTTTACAAAGTTCGACAACAATCGAACGATTACTGTTTATTATTAACTAAATGATTTAATATAATAAAAAGGCAGACCGCTCGTCTCGATGACGTGTGACGTTTGCTGGGAAGAAAACGCTGCACTCGTTTAAAATGTGAGTAACATGTGGGCGTAATCGCTTCCTCATTTTCGACCTGTAACTTTGTCGTTCCCATTGTGAAAGTACAGTACATCTCAACAGTTTTAGATTTTTTTTTAAACGTTTCTATGTTCTGTACTGGCCTCAAGAAAGTAAATTTTATTTCCCGCTAGAGCAATTGATATTGACAAAATATTATTATTTTAACACGATTTCCCATTAGCACGCCTATGGCGGCACAATACTTTTTAACACTTGGAAATTAGATGACCGCATGCAAAGTGCATGCTAATTTTCGATCATTAAGACGAATTAATATTGATTTTGAACGTGTAATATGTCTGCTGTTCTAAAAAAATCGATTACAATGCCTTATTAATTAGGGCTTTATTGATTGGCCTGCTAATTATGAAGTTTCTATGCGTGGGTTGGATCGATCTGAAAGCAGTAGCTCACGATTGGTGCCTCCCACTAGCTTCGAAATGTGACATTTTTTGGGAATTTCTACGTGGTCGTAGGTTAATTTAATGACAAAAAAAGCACGTACGCTAATCAAAACGGCGCTTGGATTCGGCTTTTTTCGAATTTAGAAATATCGGCTGCGCCTGACTTATTTATGTATAAAGCAACCTAAGCATTGACTATGCCGATAATTAAATTTATTATTAGCCAATATTCTATTGTTTCAACCTAGGCGTTGTTCTGACATTTGTATGTTGAAGTCGGACTTCGATGACAGCAACATGGCAGCCAATTGATAATCGAACGGTATTTAAATGATATTGCATTGCGTGCAAATCCGTGATATTTGAAGATACCTACTTATTTAAGAGAGGACAATTTGCTTTATAATTGCAAAATAATTTTTCAGGAAGCCTGATCCCAAAAAAAAAAAATGAAAACGTCGTCCATGAAGAGAGTAAATATTTTCCCTTTTTTGTTGTTGTATTACGGAAACTTCAATAGCAATAAATAATACGCCACAGTAAAGTGCAAGAATGTCTAATTTTTCGACTTATAATGGTGCAAGCGAATTTTACATTCAATTTAATTCGAAACAAATGAAAGTTGCTGGGAAATTAAAAAGCGAGGTATAATGGACACGCGAGTTTGAAACGAAATTAAAACAATTACGAGATTATTTATAAGTATTGCATAATTAAGTGTAGATCGCGAGGTTTCTTTCTTTAGTTAAAAATAGAAGTGGCTGTAAAACATGGAACTTATCGAAGTGATTTGCCACTAAATTAATTTTAAGTGTGTATTAATTCAATACTTAATAGCGTTTTTACGATTTAGCATTAGCAAATAACGTAATTGAACTGAAACAGATATGATTACAAATTTGAACATCCGTAAAATAGAATAATTATGTTCTGCTATACGTAGTTTTTACTCTAAATGCCAGATAGTGGATAGTGCATTGGGTCTAATGATCGTTTCGTACTGTACTAACGACACAGTCATTTTCAACAAAAACAAAAGATAGAAATTGGTGGTGTGAACGTTGAAAAGACTGCGTCAGACGTTCGTGTTAATTTTATTTGAAACTGGATCATCTAATCAACTAGTCGATTATTTACTTCATTACCTTCCGCAGCTGTTTATACACGCAGTAAAACATCTCGTTTATTACGGCAGATTAACATTTGATTATTCACGGAATGATATGTACCGACAATGAAAAAGAAACGTTGGAAATTTAATGATGTACTCAACATAAATAATATAATTAAATTGAGAAATTCACAATGCCGCTGTTTGGATATTTGTTTGTGAAAACTTTCGTTTTTTGGGGACGTTCATATTTTTGCTTTTTTCTTCGAGACTCTTAAGAGTTGGTTATTGAATTCTTGAAAGGTAAATAGTGTTCGGTGTGTCTCGAGTAATGCACTACCACATCTTCCAGCAATAAATTTTAATGTTATGGTTCCAGTCAGTTCGTGCCGCGTGTTTTACTAAACTCCTCCCTCTAATAAAATTTACGAACTAAATATTTACGTGAGGAAAGCGTTCGGAAATAGAAACTAAAATAGTGAATTTCCGACGAAAATAATTTGCAGAGCACTGATTGCGGTATATGTAGTGAGCCACCTGAAAATAACGTGATGAAACGTGGCAAAACATAGCGGCGAAAATGAAGTGGCCGACAAACAAAATTATGATTATCGAAAAAGCGTCGGAAACACAACGCTGGAACGGTAAAAAGCAAAAAGAAAGTGTAAAATTGCGATTTAGAAACCTGCGGTGCTCGCTAGGGAAAAACATCAAAATTTCACGCCGTTATATAGGTGAGCGGATTTTGAAATTAATTGGTCAAAAACGCGTGGAAAGAATGCCGAAGGAGAAACGACACAACTTAGTATAGTTGCTTTGTGACCCTTGTTCGTTTTAGACACACACTCTCAACTATCTATTAGCGAACCGACACGAAATTGCAATCGTATGAAGATATGAGCGTATCTTGAGTTTTAGATTAGTTCCGCCCAAATGACGTAATGTAATGTGTTGGCCGGCCATTGCCTTCGGCGCTGAGTTACCTTGAATGAAAATATTTTAACAATTTGGTAATTTTATTGTGTTTGCCAATTGCGCAATCTTTGCAACTGTTAATTTATTACCCGACAAACGAAACGAATGACGATGCTGCTAAAAACAGCTTCCAGCCAAGGTGGCCGCTTGCGTATCTGTAGATAACTGATTAAAAATAAAATTTAAGTTGAGTTGATATACGAGTAGCACGCAAGTGAAACTGCTAACAGGAGTACATAAAATGAGCACCATGCTATGTTGGAGAACAGTAATTAAATAAGGTGGATGACGCTTAGAAGAAACGGAAGAGGCACCTGGAATGACTAATTCGAGGAGAGTGGTAAATTGTACGACAAACATCATATTAGAGGCAGATGGAGCAAAATTTAAACACCCCAACAACATCTCGGACGTTCACTAACTTTTGCATTGGTCCATTCATCTTTTGAATTCTCCGTCAAAAGTTATTAACTATCGGCTTAATTGGTTAATTCATCTCGATTGAATCGGTTGGTCGAATTGTTCTTTATATTGGATTGGCCGGAGTTTGTTTACCGTATTGGGTTAGCAGTTTACCCTTCGGTTATACTTAATTGTGTGCTGACTGTAACGGTCACCCGCTATGAACTTAATAATTAACATAAAATGTTGATTCCTTTAAGTAGAAAATGAAAAACAAGTTTTACGATGCAAGACGCTAGAAAGACAACTTGCCTTTTACAATAAAAGAAATATAGGTGTATCGACTTATTGCTATCTGATACTGGGATGTTTTGAACGATAGTTTTATTGGTGCATCGAATCGATCTTATTTT